GGTAAGTCTATCAGTTTTCGTAAATAATTTCAGGGCTTTATTCTTTATGTATTTTTTTGATCGGATCAATTTTCAGGTCTCTGAGGATGTCATTCGTCCTAATGTATTGTGCTTATTTTTTTAAAATTCAATAAAGACATAGTGTTAAATAAAAAAAAAAATATCAAGAGATGGAGTTTGTCTAAATGAGAACACATACTGACATATCGAGTTTTGTTAAATCTAAGAGTTTGCTGGTAAAGATAAGCTTATCGAAAAGAAAATCTATTCCAATTTAACCAAATGAATTTGGATAAAAATTTAAATATTAGAGCGGGCATCCCTTTAAAAACTTTTAATTATTTAAAATATTTTTTCTTAATATTTTAGTTAATTAATGCTATTAAGAAGTTACGAATTAAGAATTGATTATTATTTCTATAAATTTATTACATATATTAATTGTATGATATGTATTTATTTATTATATGTATTTATTTTATTTGTATTAATTATTAAAAATATTAGAGCAGTCAGAACTTTTAATTAATAAAATACTTTTGCTTAATATTTTAGTTAATTAATTCTATTACTTAATTAATAATCAATTATTTGATTATTATTTCTATAAATTTATTATATGTATTAATTTATTATATGTAGTAATTATATTTGTATTAATTACTAAAAATATTAGAGCAGGCTGAACTTTTAGTTAATAAAATACTTTTGCTTAATATTTTAGTTAATTAATTCTATTAATTAATTAATAATCAATTATTTGATTATTATTTCTATAAATTTATTATATGTATTAATTTATTATGTAAATTTATATTATTATGTATTATTTTAAAAAATTAGTTTATTAATTTATTTAATAAACCAATGTCTTGATTTTACTTGCTAAAACTGACATTTTAATTAAAAAGTTCCACTGTACATATTGAAATTTACCGCCTATACTATATTATAAATATTTATTGTAGAACATATTTTATATATTAACAATGGGAGATATCATATATGCGCACAGCAAGAGGTTATTAGCGAGTCGGTTGGTCGCATCAATTGATCATTAGTAGAGGGTTTTAAGGTAACAAAAGATATTTATTTGTTTGTATATTATGGGGTGGTAATTTTGTAATAAAATCAAGTATCATAATCAATATTGAAGTGCAAACAACAACCAAAAACTGTAACAATTGGGAATGGAAAACTTTAACGCTTAAAAACTGGGGTGATTGATATAATAGGGATTAACGTGAAAATAGTGGACGTCAGTGATGACAGAGGCGGCAGCAGCGTTTGATCGAGTAGCAGATAAATTATTATAATGATTTCTACCTTGCCATCACAGCTTATTAAGGTGAATCACGGATATCACGGACATCAAAATATATAAAATAATAAGTTAAATAATTACACGCCAAATGATACGCAGATGAAGCTACAATTTTGAAAGTAACCCTTGCAGTTCCAACGTAACAGCAACAACGCATTTGCTAGATACTTTCAACGGTGTCATTGTACACCTTTCGGAGGATTCAATTGTAGCAGTCTTGTGTCTATCATGCAGGACATTATGCTACACGTGCAGGATGTGGCATGTTTACGCATCACTGCGAAATTTGAGTTGGTCTTTACAGGTACATGACTGCATGCCACATCATGTGGCATTTACGAGTATTGGCGTATTTTCATGAGATACTTTTTCTTTTTTGGTTTCTTCGTTTGTGCGTTGTTCGTTGTTCGTGTGGTTCATTACAAATTAAGTCGTTTTAATTACGATATCAACAATGGATTGATGAATGTATCTCTAGTAAGTCGTCAGTTGTGTTGTGTTGTGGGCTGGTGGGTGAGGGTCGTAAAGAGGATGCAACGTTTTGTAATTGATACCATAATCATAAGCTAAAGATACTTTTTATTTTTGTGCATTTTTCATGTGATTTTTTTAAGCACTTGTGCTGTGAAATTGTTAGTGCTGGGTTTGTTTTTTTGTTTGGAACAAAACGGTTTTATTTGTCTTTTTTAGGTTCTGACTTGTTTTTTTTTATTTTGTGCTACTGTTGTGCTTGTTAGGGATTAAAACTTTTTAATCCAAAACATGCGATGTCGTCACTGAAAGATACTTTCGCGATGCTTACTTTTGTTAAAGCTTTGAATTGGTTCGTTTGGTGTTTTGTATTCTGATTTTGTTTCAAGTGCTGGTAGGGATTAAAAATAATTGGCATTTTAACTTGGTACATGAAGTTCAATGTATGCTAGACTAATAAGATTTTTAGGAAAATAAGTGGTGAAATTACTAAAAGAAACAACAGGCATAATAAAAAACATCTGAGTGCTTTGCAGTTTAATCAAGTCTTGAGTTCAGTTAGTCAAACTATTACATAATTTTATTAAAAATAAGCTGAAGATATGTAACATAAAATAATTTCCGAGGCACGACTACTTGGCAATGCCATTTATTAAAACCACTATTTTGATGAACATTATTCGTTACGCTATCAAGATGTAGATAGGTAGAGGTAGAGGATAACACCAACACTTCCTATGTGCGCTTCTGATATATAGCGATTCTTGTACGCTATATGTCAATATATTTTGGTTATCGAGATAATGGATTTTAAGATCCGAAATTTTTACATGAAAACCACTAGAAACAAGTAAACGCCTCAGATAGGCTCCAAATAGTGGTCGTTTTCTAATCAATGCAAAAATTTCATGTTGGTTCTAGAGCGTATGCAGTTTTTGTTATTGAAATCGATATAAAAGGTGGAGAACTGCAAACCCTAATATTACTAAAATTAAGCTTAATCGATACATACTTCAGATGTTGCTCATCTAACTTCATCTAACTTTACTAAAACCTGATGTTAACAGATTTTATGGTATCAGTCCTCTCAACTCTGGTATTATTGATACAATTAGATTCTGAGTGCTGAAAATTACTTCTGAGTAAATATTAAGTTTAAACTTCCCTTTCTGAAAGTAATTGACTAGATCATCAATATGTACCTGCAGGATGTTAGAAATTTTTGTTGTATCTACATTAGAATACAGGATGCATGTGTCATCGCCGCACAATGATAACAAAATTGGTTTCATTTTTGGAATATCAGCGGTATAAATTGAATGAAGCACAGGAAAAAGTAAAGAACTTTACGGATCTCACAGTACGATTAACCTGATGGAAGAAAGATGATTCACTATTTTAATTCAGAATTTTCGATTTATCAAAAAAGTATAAGTTGGATTGGAAAATGTTTATAATAAATTTTGTTTTTGGTTTGTTTATGGCTAGGTTAGAGGCAAGGTTGTAGTGGCATCCATCTATTTCCGACTTAAGTGTAAATTTGATCACCTGTTGTGATACTCTGGATTGTTTATGATTAAATTTATGGTGAATTTAATAGCGAATATGCACCTGAGCGCGATGTATTTATCCGACAACTACTATGAAGACACATTCCAAGCAAAATTCTGTCAAGTAAAATAAAATATATTCTTTACAAAACTGCAACAAGGTTTTTTATAATATATGGGTGTAGAAACAGAAACTAAAAAGCTATAGATTTTTGAAATAAAAATCATACGGAAGTTTTTCGAAGCTGTAAGAGAAAATGAATGTGGGTACAATCATATATATCAGTTGATAAATCGAAATACTCTTACTGAATGTATATAAAGCAGACATTAATATAGGCTCATCAAATTATAAAAACTTACTATCAACATTTTAATACTATTATTACCAGGGGAGAGGAGAAAACATAGATAAAACAGAAGTTGGACAGGTTAAGTAAACGATGGGTTACAAAGAATAGGTTACTAAAATATCATGCCTAAAGAGAGATTATTATACAATAGTCATAGGTCTTTTAAGAATTGTTAGGTCAAATAAGAAGAAAAATCTGTTCAAATTAATTGTAAATTCAATTGTAAATTAAGTTAAAATACTTCTTAAGTAAAATAAGAACTATAAAAATATACTTCATACGCTTTATATCTATCAATATTTCTTCCATTAAATAATATGTTTCGGTACTTTAGTTTTCGAGATATCGAGTTGTAAGGTTGAAAATTTTTACATGAAAATCAGCAAAATTGATCCGTCATTTAGCGTTTATTTGTTGTTATCAGTTGTTTGTGTAATCAATGTAAAAAGTTAACAACTTTGAACCTTGATACCTTCTTAAAACTATATCGAACCTATATGGAGTTATAGTGTAGTAGAAAAAAATTCTTAAAATAATTGATTCTACTAAAGTCTGAAAAATTCTCAAAATAATTGATTCTACTAAAATCCGTTGAAGAACCTGTGTCTCAGGGAAATTGAATAATAAAGTGTAGGAGCATTACGATGCTCAAGGAGTTTGAGTGTGAATTAATTCGAATGTTTGAATCGATAATGTAAAATGTTTCAACTTCTCGAAGATAATATTTTGTTTTTAATTTTTGAGTTATTACGTCGATATAATTTTAAAGTCGGTTTTGTTTTTTTAAGAATATTAATTTTTATTTCGAGTGTTAAGTATTTCTATTCGTATTTTAGAAAATTCGCTTTTGCCGCGAATATTTATAGAAATATACTGAAAATCAAAGCTCGAAATAATAGGTAATCTTAAAAAATTAAAACCGACTTCTCGAAGATGTTCGTAAGAGTCGAACAGTAAATTTGTTTTGTATCATATTCATATTATATTTTTTTTTTGGTGCTCGAATATTTTTGAGCGTCTCACATATTCGAAGAACCAAGTGCTTAAAGTATCGAATACCTAGAATAATAGGTACTAGGCACTAATTATAATACCACTTAAATTATATTAATTAAAACATATCAATGATGATTAGTAAGACTGAGTAAATGAAAAACTTTAATCACTAGAAATTTAAGCACAATTAAACTGTATTTTTTTATTACATGTTTTTTTTTAATATAATGTACACTACATATTATATATAGATAATTCACCTAACTATATCAAACTATATTATGTAAAGATATTTTTTTAATTCACCTGTTACTGTTATGTACTGCGTCGTAGCGTCATCACTCTCACTTGGTTGGGCTTGCATTAAGGTTACTTGTCCGTTCGCTACTTGGGTTAGATTTACATTATCTTTAATTGCACTTAAATCGGAAATATTGGCGCTTGTTTCGCTATTCGAATCAGTTGCCTCCATGGGAACCACAACACTTATTATAGCAACCCCCTCTGGATCGCCAGTGTTTTTAATTTGCTGAAATAATAATATTGTATATATGAAGTAGGAAATAGTCCCAAGGCAATTGCATAAAATATAATAACTATATTTACCTGTGTCATAACATCTTCCAAATGGGCAGCAGCAACAACGGCGTCTTCATCCAAATAACTGAATTCTGCATTTTGTGAATCGGATGTAGCAGTTTCGATGGCAATTTCTTCGTTTTTGATATGAGAACTGGTTAAAATTGTTTCGGTAGCAAGGTCTGCCACGTCATCGGCGGAGATAATTTCAGGCGAATCTGTCGATGAATCTAATATAATAGTAGAGCGTCCAGCGGATGTTGCAACTGCCGTTGGAGTTCTTAATAAAAAATTTCGCTGCGTTGCTAAACGTGTGGTCATAATAGTTGATGTCGATCTTATAGTTATATATTAGTAAGTATATAAATATTTGATTTATATAATAATTTAGATTATTTTTTATAGAGTTTTGACTAGTTTAGTTTACATAAAAAGGCAACTGGTTGCAATTGTTTTATTTATTTGGTTTCCGGTTACATCTGAAAATAAAAATTAAAATAATATTTATAATTAAAAATATCAAATTTGAAATATGAGTTAGGAGTTTTATTTTCTAACAAATTTTAATTAAAAATTTTAATTGCAATCCATATTTTCATAGAAAATATAATTCAAATTTGTTGTGATTGTTTCTATTACGATTGTTGGTTGGTTGGTTGGTTTTGTTTTCGCGCCTAGTAAAATGGAACCAATTTTAGGTAAATTGCTGTGATTTGATTTCGGTTCCAGGCTGAGTATGTATCTCGCATACTGTTAGCTTTGAATTTGTATGTATTCTGTATATATATATATATATATACATATATATGAGTATTATATTATTGCTGTTGTTGTTGTTGCTAATATGGGATTTCAATTGCTGATTTCGGCAGAGGGTGTTGCTATGAAATAAAAGTTTTACAGGTATTTCTTTTATTTTTATTACGATTTCTTTTTTCATATCAAGTATCGTTTCTATAGCGCTCCCGTTTCTAAGGACTCATTTGTGCAGGAGCTTCTTTTTAATGTATATGCAAGCTTCATTTTATATTGAAATTCCATTTTATTATGTATTTTAATTGAAAATTTAATTAAAATATTTCAGTTCATAGTACTTTTATTTGTTGTCGAACTTTCATAAAAAAGTTTGCAAATTAAAATATGCTTCCTGAAATTTATTTAATTAATTCCCAAAAATTGCAAGCAATCAAATTATGACATAAAAGAGATAAAAAGGTGTATATATTTTAATATTTATCATATATAAAAAGTAAAGGGTATTCAAGCATAAATGGATGGTTTTAAGTGGCATAAAAGTATATTACGGTTTGTCAAAAATTGACTTACATGGAAAAATATTCAAGTCGAATTTTTTTGAAGTTTTCATATAGATCATATGTAATATTTCCATAAAAAAAACGTATCTGAACTTTTGGATTCAATTATTAATGATAGTGAAGGCCCGCTTATGACAATCGGTGGGGCCATGATTTATGATTATAAATTAAAATATAAAAAAAATAATGAATAATGCACTAAAATGTAAATATAAACTAAAATATATTAAAAATTAATATATTAATATTAAAATATATTAATAATAGTAATATTAAAATATATTAATAATATTAAAATTAAAATATATCAATAATATTAAAATATTTTATTAGTATTAATATTAAAATATATTAATAATATTAATATTAAAATATATTAATAATAGTAATATTAAAATATGTTAATAATATTAATATTAAAATATATTAATAATATTAAATATATTATTAGTATTAATATTAAAATATATTAATAATGTTAATATAAATTATATTTAATAATAGTAATATTAAAATATATTAATATATATTAATATTTAAATATATTTAATAATATTAATATTAAAATATATTATTAATATTAACATTAAAATTTATTAATAATTAATTATTAAATATATTAATTATATTAATATTAAAATATATTATTAATATTAATATTAAAATATATTAATAATATTAATATTAAAATATATTATTAATATTAACAATAAAATATGTTAATAATATAAATATTAAAATATATTATTATTAAAATATATATTACTAAAAATAGATCAAGATCCAGAAGTATTTATGCATTCATTTTCTGATTAATAATGGAAATAATAACTAATCTAAATTTTTTTATTTTTTTATAATATTGAAGGCATTAATTTCGCCCGAAGTGCTGCCGTAACAATGATATATTTTGATAAAATCAGTTTTTCTAAGTAACTCTTACCACAAGATAATATATCTACACAGCTTGGTTTTCAAAGGCATTGGGCTTAAAAAATGTGCTTGAGCAGAAAATTCTATTGTGATATACTATATATAAACAGAATTTTATCTAATTTCCACACTGACAAGTTTTTGGCAAGTTTAAAATATTTGAATACACATATATACATTAGCTTGATTTTTAACGTACGTTTTGAAGAAAGAAATTAAATTCTTAATATAAACTATAGTTTTAAATAGAGAGATTTTTATCGAACAGTAGAGAAATTGCAACAACAAAAATTTATTATTATTTTTAATAAATATATAAATACATATATCTTACTAAGAAATTATTATATAAATATTTATTGTTAATTTTAAATATGCTTTAAAAAATTTGTTTAAGTTAGTGTAAAACATTAGTGTCCAACAATCTTGCCAAAAAGTTGTCTGTGTTGGCCCTGGGTAATATATTTTGTAAGTTTGTTAAATATTAAATTATTTAGTTCTTTGTGAGTTAACATTAAAATTAATTTGATGTGATTGATTAGTATACATAGTTATTTCAGATTTTCATGAATATTACATTTTGAGGATACAAAAAAAATACAAAAAACATTTTATGACTTCTGGATATATTTTTAGAAAATTGTACAGAAACTGTACTATTTGCTAAACTGACTAAAATCGAAATATAAAATAGCAAGTGACTTTAGTATACGGGTATACGGTCTAAAAGAAAAGAAAATAGCAACATCAGAAAAATGGTACTGAAATGGAAATCGCAGGTCTCTAGATGATGAAACCTACCTGAAATTAAGTGGGAAAAACAATGTTGTATAACACATAACGGTCAGGTTATAGTAGCAACTAAGAAAAATTGCTGACAACTGAGACAAAAGTATAAAGTTTGTTTCTATATTCTACAATATACTATATTCTACTGTCTACTATACCCACAAATATTGTTATAATTTCTAGATATTACTTTTTCATATATAAAATAAGAATAAAAAACACAGTAAAGTAGAATCCAGTTTACCAGTTTACTATATGGTTTACTTTGTCAAGATTGATGATAATAAAATAGCGTTTATTAAAAAATGTCTATTTGTATGAATGATATAACTATCGTATTATTCATATAACTATTAAGTTTGAAAAATATATTTGTATTATTGTGCGACGCACACACGAGTATATACACATATATACACATTCAATATCTAAAGCGCGAAATATGTATCTTCGGTAATAGATATATCAAAAGTCTCTAAGTTTAGTCTACATATAATAGTTTAATCTTGTTATATGATTTTAAAGAACCCATGTAAGTGCTATACTGGATAGATTTAAATTCTAAAATAATTAAATTTATAAAGTAATTTATACTATTATATAAATAATATATAGAGAAAAGTAAAACTCATCTCCATAACGCACACCCAATAATGAAGACTGCTCTGTACCTGCTTGATAAGATAATAGATTTCATCAATTAATTATTCCCGGTTTTATCCCGGAATATCCCGATTTTACAACTAATCGAGGGGTGATTATTTGATAAGACAGATTATTATTTGTAGATCTATGTTTGGAATGCCCGCCAAGTTCTTTGAGGATTTCCAAATTATATACTATAAATATAGCAGAAAAAGATTTTATAATGTATTTTATTATTTCTTTACTTGCTCTTCTATATTGAAAGTCACTATAACAACATTTTCATAAAAGCTATGGACCTTTTTTGTGAAAGTGTAACAATATTATTCTTAGTTCGCTCTTATTTCTGGTACTCTTAGAACATATAATAGTTTTGCTATGCGATTTTGGTGTCTTTTGCTTTTATAAAAAGCACGCACACATTCGAAGCTATTCTCTAATTAAAAAGAATGCAGTTTTTTTGGAGGCAGTGGATTTTTTTCAGATTTTAAAATACATTTGGACTTTTCTATATCTAAACTCCTTGAAGGAAGTTCTATATAATAAAGTTTTTTAAAGCAAGTAAATAGAGTTTTTTATATTATTTAATTTTTCTATATATAATGTGAATTAATTTATATGAAACGTGTTTTTTATTTTATTTGATTGACTTAAACTTATATTCGGTAAAATTAATTCGAATATAAGTAGTCTCCCAATAATATATTCGAACTTTCATTAGTACCAGCTTATTTCTTAAAGTTGCTTAGGTTAATAAGAATAAAAAGAAATAAAATATAAAACTTTTAAACAGTAAAGAATTAATGAATCAATTTAATTTGACAATTTTTTTATTGTAATTCTTTATTGTTACTCTCAAATCGAATGCAAAAATGTATATTCCGTCTGGAAATTATGCTAGGCTTTAAAGTACACTTCTATAAAATTATCTGAATAAATTATTATTAGAATTCAACGGAACTCTTATTACAGTGGATCATCTAAATGGTCATAGGCAATGAGTAAAAATGTTTTAGACATTAACTCACGTTTGTTCAAGGAAAGAAGAAATAAGCTTTTAATTCACAAATTAGTTACGTTTTTATAATTAAACTTAAAACAAAAGTGTATTCAAAATATATAAGTAATTTTATGTTTTTATAAAATTTTATTTACAACTAAAGAATAATTTATTTTTGATTTTCCTTAATGAAACATTACGTCGGTGTGAACGACTTCGTTATAAAGGCGTTAGATTGAAATGGCGTTATCGATTGGTAAAACTGGATTTAATCTAGATTTACTCTCGATATGTCAAATTTTGTTGCTTATTCTAATATTTTTAGAGTAATATATTAATATTAATATATAATATAGTAATATATTAATATATTTTTAGAGTAATATATTATATATATCAATATTTATATATTTAAATTTAATTAAATTTATATTTAGTATAAACATTTCTATTTTTTATAAACATATTCAAACAAATCACATTTTATTTGTAAAGTCATATAAAACAGCTGTTAATTTTAGGAAAATTTTAATTCACTCTGGGAAAATATCTAGAGTCTTATAAATTATCTTGAGTGTTATACATTTTGCCTGCGTTTTACGAATCGAAAATGAAAATTGCGCTAAGAGTGAATCTCGATTGAAAAAGTTCCTCTAGATTTATTAATCGAAGAAAGCATAAGTTTAATCGGAAATATGGTATTCTGTTTATTTTAAAATTATTAACAAATTTTACTTATTGTTTTAAGACAAACTGTAGAAATATATACGTAAATAAACTAAAATATAATCTACAC